TCTAGCTAATTACCGTCTCACGATAGCTAACATCACCCCTTCCAAGTCAGACTAATAAAATCCGTTCAAATAAATGTTAATGGATGGATATAACATGTCATCTGTATCATTTAACGTCCCTCTTGAGTTACTTTTTCTGAATTTTTAATGGGAAATAGGCAATTTGAATTTGAGAGGGGAGAACGTGGTCCTTAGATTTTGGGGCGAGCATGGAAACAACTCATTTTAAGAAGGAACTAGCTAGAGTGGATTAAATAAAAAGACCAAGTTCTACAAATCAAATTTTGAAAAAGAAAATGGTTGCCATTTGCCATTTCACATGACATGATAATCGAAAATTAATATCAACAGATTTTTAATTTGCTATTTATATCAACAGATTTTCTTGACATAACAAATGTTCATGGAATTTTTAATTAATTTGCTAACTTAATCATTACGGATTGAAAATTAATAATCGAAAAAAGAGAGATATAAATTTAAGGATCATTTTTCTAAGCACGGGAATTTCATAAATGGAACTATATAGTTTAACTTAATAGTATTTCATTGTTTTATTAACTTCTTAAATGCACTCATTATAATAAATTGAAATCTTCCAACTAACACATAACCCACAAGTTTGACCCAAATAAAAATTTTAAGTTGCCAACACACATAAACTCCTAAACCACAACGTTGACCCAACCAGATAAACCCCTAAACCACTCAACCCTACTTAGGGCGGCCACCACTGTTGCCATCCTTGCTGCTGCCACCACCACCGGTCACATCAATATTGCTTCCATCAAGATTCTGGTCATCAATACCATCGTCATACCCTCCACCGTTGCCGCCATTTACCGGGCGGCTCCCGCGAGAGTGAGCTTTGTTAATCTCGTCAGCAAAGTCCCTTACAGTTTCCTCTAGCAATGCCTTGATGGTTTCCTCGTCAAGATTAACCTGACGGTTGTCCTGAACGTCATTCCCTCCTGCTCCAAGGACAAAGTCCAGCAAATCATTAGCCAATTTTTCCATGTCTTTATACTCTTCAATCACTCTCTTAGTTTCTTCAAGTTCAATTTCTGCAGCTGCTACGCATTCTTCCATGCATATTTTCTCCTCTCGCATTATTGCCAATTCAGCTTTCATGGCCTCAAGGACGTTCCCTGCATCCTGTATTGGACAGACAAAATTCTGAATAAATTTATACTATATGTTAAAACATGCAAAAAGGAGAGCGAGTCGGATCAAGGATGGCCGTTCAACAGGACAATAACAGATTTATACAATACCTGCCAGTTAATCTTTTGAGATGAATAATTAGATTTCGATCAAATGAAACAAAGAAGACATTGAAACTAAAATTGTAAGGAGAAATCTCACCATCTGAGAAACAGTCGTCAAAAACAAACAACAGAGGATCGAAAGAATTGAGTGTTAATAATTGGAAAGTCGAGGAGGAGGAAAGAGATGCTCCATATGGGTAGTGAGTGGCTAGCTAGGCCAAATGTAGCATAGTGAACCGGGCTTATATAGAGGAATATTAGTAAGCTCTTTACGCGTAGTGAACAGCAAATGTACGAAACCGCGTTTTAGCTTTTTGGATTTTTGTTTGTTTTTGGTTTTTTTTTATTGGGTCTGGTGGCTCATTTTTATATATATTTGTGATTCATTTTATTTCAGCGGTTTTATGTTTCAAAACATACTTTATTGCTTTTGTATTGACAGCTACCCTATATAATGTTTCTTTTGGACTTATAAGATCAATGACCAGAGTTGAGCAAGTTCAATTGAATCACAAAATAAATGATGTTGAGAAACGCAATTTATACAAAAAAGACATGAGGAAAATAATAATATTAATAGCTATACTCAGGGGTAGAGGGAGAAGGGTGGCGGCTGCCACCTCTCAATTTTTAGATTTTTTTAAAAATAATATATATAAAATTTAAGATATATATTTTTACCACCCCTATTTAAATTAAACAACTTCTTTTGGAATAGTGATAAGTTTCCTAGCAAAACCATTAATTGATTTAGGTTTAATTTCTCTTGAGCTCAAATTTTAAATTTTTTCCTCAGCATATCCTCTAATCAAAATCTCATGTTTTTGTGCCCTTCCGTTCCTTTCCTTGTTTCACACCTTTTTTTTTCTTTTTTTCTTTCACACTTATTTTACTTCCTCTTTTTTAGAGTTTTTTTTTACTTTCATTGCTTCTTCTCTTTTTAGAGATTTTTTTTTTCTTTTGGATATTTATTTCCCCTGCTTTGAAACAGCAAAACAAATAATAAAAGTGAAGAGAAAATATTACTCTAAAAAAACTTTTTAAATTTTTTTTTAAATTCTTTTTGTTATATATCTTCAATGCCATGAAACTCATACAAATTGAGTTAATCTTTTTATTATCTTCAACGTCATGAAATTCATACAAATTGAATTAATAGAGTTGATTTTTTTTGCTTTGAGAACTGATTATTTTGTTAATTAACTTCTCAAGTGACTATAAACAAATATTGCACACAGCATACAAATATTGGAATAACTTGAAGTAATGAAAATGACTTAAATTTAATTTGCAATTAATTCTATCTTCTATAATTTTAAACTTATATATAAAATTTTTTAAATCAATTATTTATAAAATTTTACAAACCCATTAGGTAACGCGGGTATTCTTAGTTTTTCTAATTGATTCACAACTTTCTCATATGCTTTTCATCATCATCCACGTAATTAAGATCTAGCTAATGATTAAGCAATACATGTAAACATGTGTGTGGGAAGGAAAGCCAATGACACAACGATTGAAGCCGATGAAAGAAATGACACTTTTGATGACGTTAATAGTGTGAAAATTGAACGTTGTCTGGACTCCAATTCACACTTGATTGGGAGTTTCATGAAATTTTTCACTAGATGGATGGGGAGTCTAAATTTAGTGTTGATAGGTCTGCCAGGGTAAACCTGGATCAGTAGTCTGAGGTGGGGTTTTTAGGGACTTAGTTTTGTTTTTGGTATTTTCTTTGGTCCTTTGGACATCCGGAATTCAAACTTTGCAGAGTTCATGACAATTAAAAATGCAATCCACTTATTCTCCTCCTCACCTTTGTTACTTCGAAGAAAATGATCATTGAATCGGACTCCAAAATAACGTTAGCTTTGCTGGGTCTCTAACTTGGAGTTAAGTCCCTAGGATAAATCGCACATTCCAAATAAAAGTAACAATTGGTAAGACTCAGAGAGAAGCCAACGCCTTTGCCAATTAACTTGCAAAATTTGATATGGACCGAACAGAAATCTTTTACGCATGGAGAAAATGCTTGCCCTCCTCGGTATCTTTAATGATTTCTACTCTGCATTATCTTATGATACTGTGGGACTGCATTGTTTAATTGTGGTTCTTCGAGCTCCCCTGAAAGGATGTTGTGTAATCTGATTTGTGTTACATATGGCACTTGTGTTTTCGGCCGGTTGTCCTCCAAAATATATAAATAAGTATATTACCATATTTTAAAATTATTTAGTATAGTAGCTTTTTAAATTCATATATAGTAACCAAAAAAAAATTCTAAATTTACTCTTATGTACCTATTTACATATTCATTTATTTTATTTTCTTGGCTTTTTGTTTTTTCTTTTAAATAAGGGAAAATGAATTTTAAAATGAATATTAAATAGATTATGTTAGTTTCTGTTGTCCAAGTTTGAAAGACAATTTTGGAGGCAAATATGCTATGATATTTAAATCAAAGCTGCATACGTGCGCTTTCTTTGAAGGCAAACGCACAATGACTAAAATGTGGAAAAGAAGTTTGACTCGGTCCTCTCCACTACTAGAAAATTCTTGCGCTTTGCAAATTGCATAAAGCTGAGAAAACTTTGTATCTTTTCAATGCTCAAATGCAGTCACGTGTGTTAGATATTACTACTAGATGAATCCCTAAAGAATCAGTTTTTCTTAAATAATAACGATCGATCCCACTATAGCTAAGGTTTTTCCCTCAATTGGGCAGTTGTTGCATAGGCAGCTGATCCTGTTGCAACATTCCCTTTGTTGTGGTTTTGGGCGATGAATTTTGACGGCAACATCTGCACATTCATCTTTGGCTTGAACGATACAATGCCTGTCTCTTGTTTATCAACTAAGACAATGTAAACATTAAGGAACTTGTTTCCATAACCATCTTTTCAATCTTCTTAATTCTCTAAGCACCCTGATGTCCTTAAAAACCATAGGTAATTCACATGGTTATTGGATTAACCATGATGGCAGCATTGTCATGAATTTACTTCTTCTTGTTAGCTAAGCCTTTGTTTTGGTATTTATCTCATATGGTCGATATTTTAGGGGAGAGCTAGGCCTACACAAAAATCTCGGCTGAGTTTCCCTTCAGAATCAGACATTTAACCTTATTACACCTGCAAAGAAGGTCCATTCTCAAACCTCAAGCACCCAACAAAAATTCCATTCTCAATTAAAGCAATCACAAGTTGTATTCCTTTGGCATCATATATATTATCAAAAGTTACTCACTATAGTATTGCACTTCCAAGATTTCCTCACAGTGCTTCATCACTAATATAACCCCTTAATTTTCTGTCCTTTCCTTACATGTTTGTTTCCATTTTGAACATTCTAGTTAAATTACCTCAACCAAAGTCACTTAATTATAAATTAATTAAGTAAAACAAGGCGATAGCTAATATCAAACCCATGTTTGAAGTTGTCCTTATAACCATTTCATCTCTTAAAATATAGCTTATCAAGTATTCCTATCACAAAAAAGGAATTCTGTTGGGTGAAAGCATGTATTGAACTAACTACAGAAGAAAAAGAAACAAGAATTTTCCTGCATCTACAACTTGCTCATAATCTCAAAGCCTATCTTAACAATTAACATAAGATATCTATGTTTATCCAATAAATTACCTTCCCAGACATTCATTTAAATGAACTTATCAGCCCAAATAAATTTCAATTCTTTCAACTAAGAACAAGTAAAGCTGAACCTTCGTAAAATCACAACAGCAAGTACGTACTTCACTTCCACTGAAATATTTAGCTAAAACAATCTCATTTAAGTTCTCCTAGAATCAATTAAAATGGAGGTTGCAGCTGGCTTAGTACACAATCCAATCCATCACCATCCCATTTCTTCGAGCACCAACTTTCTACTACTACTACTGATAATCACCCAAAATGGTTCCAGTGGCAACTACTAGGTTTAATAATTAACACACATAAAACATGCCTTCAGTATCTTAAACAAACCAAAAGTACAAGCAGTACGTTGTAAACAAATTGAAACGAGGTTTCTCCTTAACGGAAAAGTAAAGGGATAGACCATCACCCTATTCACGGTGGTTAAACACCGAAACCGCCGCTGCCTCCACAACCGTGGTTGCTACCATTCCCATCGCTGTTTGTTCCTTTAACAGTTGCTATCACGGCTTCCTCATCAAGATTCTGAGCGTTTTCTAGATCGTTAATACCCCCTCCTGCGCCAACAACAACCACAACAACATTAACCAATTTTAATGGAGTTCTGAGTTTTGACCACAACCGGTTTAATAATAATTTCCGGCACAAACAAGTGACCTGTTTTCTATCCAATCAGTTCAACCGGTCTGATTTTGAAAACATTTATTTTGTTTTCCAGGTTATATTAGTTTTTTTACGTCAACGCCTTCAAATCCTCCACCCTTGCCGCCGCCCGCCGCTTCCACCACCGCGGCTGCTACCATTGCCGTCGCTGTTTGTTCTTTTAACGGTTGCTATCATGGCTTTCTCATCAAGATTCTGAGAGTTTTCAAGATAGTTAATACCCCTTCCTGCACCAACAACAACCATAAAACCATTAGGCAATTTTAATGGAGTTCTGAGTTTTGACCACAACCGGTTTAATGATAAGTTCCAGCTCAAACAAGTGACCTGTTTTCGATCCAATCAGTTCAACCGGTCTGGCTTTGAAAACATTTATTTTGTTTTCCAGACAATATTAGATATTTTTACCGTAAACGCCATCAAATCCTGCACCCTTGCCGCCATCGCTGCCGCCAATGTTGATCATAGCTTTCTGATCAGCAAAGTTCTTCTTACCATCCGCTTCAAGGAAATCAGCAACCAGTGTTTCTCCGACTTCTTTGAGCGCAAGCACTCGATCCTTCTCCGTCCTAAGCATCGAAAGTTCTCCCTCCTTCGCTTTCAGTTTAGCTTGACCGGCCCTTAGGCGCTTTTTCATGAGCCTTGTCCCTCTCTCTTCCTTTGCCACTACAACCTCTAAAGCACGCAAGAGAGCCTCAACCAGATATTGTCCTGTGGATCCTGCTTTTTGTATTTAAAAACAAAAAAGAAACAAATGAAGAAAAATAAAGGAAAGCTAGTGAGATGATCATGGTATTCTAATTTTGATGCATAATAAATGAAAAGGAATTATTCAAACTGAATTTAATCAATTATAGAAAAAGGGATCTAACCATTTCAGGAAGATGCAGAAGAAAAGAAATTAAAGCTGAAAGTTCTGATGCTGTGATCCCCAGATTGATGCTGTCAGAAAAAAGGGTAGAAGAGAGACTAAAACCTCAAAGCTACAAGGCAAAAGGCCAAAAGGGTTTAGATATTTGTGGCTGGGGAAGCCTGCTGTGGGCCCTTCTTTCCAGATCTTAATCTTCCGACCTACTTTTGGTGCAGACACGATCGCGCGTCCAATCTGACGTGGAGCTTACTAAACACAAAGATCGTATGTCGCCAATAAAATTTAATATACTAATCATAGAAAAAAAATGGACAAATAGTTTTGAGCAAAAATTTTTGTATAATTCCATGCAACGTATTTCGTAAATTTTTAATTTTAAAAAATATTTTTTATAATTAAATTATTTAATCTTTTTTAAGAATTATGATTTATGAATTATAATCTATAATTTAACATAAAATTAAATACATGAGGTAAAATTATATAAATAAAAAATAAGTATTCTTGAGTGACTTCCCTAATTTTTTTTTCATTACTTTTTTACTGAGACACACCAGTTTACTACTATAAAAATAGTACTAGTAAATGTTAAAGAAGGAACCTCAACTGGTATTTTTATTTTATTAAGTAATAAGTGTAATACATAATTCCAGAAAATTTAAACGGGTAATATTTTTTCCTAAAAAAGTTAAAAGAATTTGAACATATATAGCAAACCACCCTACTAATTTCTCATAAACAATAAACCTAGGCAGTGTAGAATTTATTAAATAAACAACACTATGATAAAGGCTAGGAGATCATAAAATTTTCAAATTTTGGTAGGGAATTGGAAAGTTTTTTATTCTCATCCTTGTGTTTCCTGGTGTGTATAGAAAACACATGCTTGGCACAATTGAATCATGATTAGTAGGGAGCACTATAATTATATAATAGAGCATGGGACTAGGAACCAATCATGTAAGGTATGGTCCGAATTGATATAAAGAAAAAGATGATAAGATAATACAAATAAATTTACGAAGCAAACAAGGCAACAAACAAAGCATAGCAAGTAGATTGATAATTATTGCTTAACGGTTTAGGGCATGGCCATAAAAGTCAAGAAATCATTTCCATCATCACATGGAGACAAGCCAATGTTAGGACAATCCAATGCCGTTGTTTTGTTTTGCAAAGGCAAAAGCGTTACAACTCCAGCTTACCTAAAATGTCAAATTACATTAATCTCATCTCATTTCTATTATATGAGCACGTACGACGTCCTGACAAAGATAATCATCAACCCTATTTTGATTGGAAGTGCCCTAATGATGAAATCATAATCATGGAGTTATAAAAAAAAATGCTTTGTCAAAATATAAGTTCAAAAACATTAAACCTATTTTTTTATTTTTTTTCCGTGAACTAAATGTGTCATAGGTTTTTATATATCTTTTTCCTTTAACTAGTTTATGCAAAGAGATCAACAGCAACCAAGCTTAGAGGAGACTCAGAACAGATTCCGTAACTGGCTGGGAAAGCTACTTGGTTGGTTTCAAATTCAATATATTCCTGTTTTAATTAGGGTTGATTTTAATTTTTCCAACTTAGGAAAAAACTTTTTGTATGTTGACCACTAATTCATTATTTTCAAATAACGAAATCTTCCTTCCGATCTTCATCCTCTCCCTTTACATATTTGACCTAAAACAACAATTAAGAAAAATAAAATTTCAATTTTAATAAAATATATATTGAACATTTTATGTTTTTTCCAGTTCTTATTTTTAATTTCAAAAATAAAATTATTAGCAAATTTGAAAAATAAAAAATAAAAAGAAAAGACTTAATTTGAGAATAATCTAAAATGGAAAATAAATAAAAAAATGAGACAGAAAGAGTAACCATTTTATTTAAGCTTAAGCATTAAATAATAAAATTATAAGTCCATCATAATGAAGACCAAAATTACCAAAAGAATTAATATTTATAAATTAGATAAATTAAGCCTAGAACCTATGTGATTAGATGCCAGCTTATTCTCTACTAGCAAAGAAGATAGGAGATTTCAGTCAAATTTATGATATTCAGAAACTTTTGTCAGTGATTTTGTCCAAACAAGTCAAGGTTTTCAGGCTTTTGGTCCAAGCCCAGCCTTGAAATCCTGCGGTCAGATCAAGTCACCAAAGAACTCGAGCAGACAGCCTCCTGTAACAAGCACCAGTCCGACGGTAATGTACGCCAAAGGGTAACAGCGTTGCCACATATAACCTGCAAAAACGATTTGTTTTGATGCAAACTGGTTTCTTTTCTCAGTTATTGATAAAGAAAGAAAAACAAAAGATATTGAAAAGTACAAGTAAATGGAGAGAAACGCTCCCCCACGGTTCTTTTCTCTTTCATTTGATACTTAACTCTTTCAGTTTCTTTCTCACTCGTCTCCAAGTGAGAATGGAATTGAAAGAATTGAGAGTCAAAATTCTTAGAGAGCCCGATATCAAGAAAAGAAAGAAAAATAATGAGATGGGAATTTAGGAGGAAGAAGGCAGTAGGAAAGAGAGGAGGAGGCAAGTGTTATGTGCAGTTACTGCAAAAATGTTATCCAATTTATAGGCGTTCCAGGGTAGGGGGAACTGCTTGACAACTCTTTTGGGATAAGATCACCAACCTCCTGTCATTTTCTTCCACTAAGAGCAGGCCGAGGGCAGGGCAAAACCTGGTTTTACCTAACAGGTTCTTTATTAACAATAGGGTCTTGACTTTGGCTCTTTCACAGCCTGGCTCCAACTATTTTCCACCCCCCCTTTTTTTTTGGGTGGTTGGGGTGTAAAATGGATTGAGCAATCCAAAAGAAAAGGGATAATATTCTTGATACAATTTATTTTGTATTAATGCATTAAAAGTAGTTTTCAATTGATAACAAGCAATCAAAATCAAATGTAAAAAATTGTATGGAATATTCGATTTAATGATTGATATCTGATATTTTAAAAAATTTAAATCTCTTTTTTTTAAATAAAAAAATGTAAAAAGTCAGACCAACTTGTTTAAATTATATAAGGCACAAGGTGTCTTTCTTTGATTTGATATTATCAATTATTTTAATTACCAACGTTAAGCTTCACCACCACCTCCAGCGTAATGGGACCACCATCAGATGAAATTCTAATTAAATAAAGCTTGGTTCATAACAATGCTCCTCTCGTCAAGATCAATAAAATTTCCAACAAGGCAACATTAATAATTAATTAATTAATTATACAGTAATTCATGCCAATAATTCGCAAAAACAATTATGTTTCTTTCTATTGATAAACGTTAAAAAGAAATAATACGTGAAACTGAAAATGAAGACAAAAATCTCAATATTTAAGAGCCATTCATTAAAAAAAAAGAAATAAACTTCACATAAAAAAAAAGAACCCTCTGATTTTTTTTTTTCAAACAAAAACCTTATGTTTTTCTATGGTTCTCCCACCAAGGTAACAGTGAATCTCTCACATGTGACTTGACGAAGAGTAAAAAATATTTTACAGATCCACAAAACACTTTTCAAAACCTTGTTCACACACTTAGATAGCATTTGATATGAAGAAAGTGAAAGCACATTCTTTATAATGTACTTAATTGAATTACATTATAATATTTATTTTGTAACAGACTACTGCAATGTAAGATTGCAATGTAATCACATTACAGCTAAGGGATGTAATGTGATTGCAATTCAAAACCAATTCAAAACCAATTCAATTATATTACATTTCACTCTACAATGTTCTTAAAGATATTTTTACACTTCAACTTTATTACCTTATTAAACATATTTTATAATGTTATAATTAAAATAAAAAATATTAAAATAAAATAATAATATAAGAATCAAAATTTAAAATAAAATATAATATAAAAAATTAAAATTTATATAATATAGGTAAAAGAAATTAAAATGAAATATATAATATAAAAAATTATATTAAATAAATAAAAATAAAAATATAAGATTATAATAATAAATGAAAATAAAATGTATGACTTTAAAAATATATTTAAGAGATGATATTATATAAAAATTAATAATAAAAAATATAAATATATTGAACTTGTATTTTAATAACTAAGGGTAATTTTGAAACTTAACATTACATTTTCAAGAAAGTATTTATAAATTAAATACTGCAATATTATCTTTTCTACAATTTAATCATTATTTTACTTATATTCTAACCAATGTAATATTATTTTTCTTACAATCACATTGTCTGCAATCACATTACTTGCAATCACACTACCTATAATCAAATTGTATTGTAAAGTACCAAATGCCATCTTAGAGTTAAAAAAATGTGGATGCAAGGGATAAAAAAAAATGTGGGGAGAGATGTAGAGGGAAGTAGTAGGCGAATTACTCTCATTAACTCGGTGTTGAGCTCTTTGTCATTAGACTAGTTGTCCATCTTTCAAGCACCAAAAGGGGTGATTAAACAATAGGAGAAAACGAGAAGATCTTTACGGGGGATAGTGAAAACAAAAAGAAACTTGCAAAGGTGAAATGGAGTGCGGTGTGTCAATCGAAGGCTAGAGGTGGATTGGGAGTCTCAAATTTAGACCAAAAGAATATCGCTTTGCAAAGGAATGGTGGGAAAAAGGGACCGACTAAAATTCAATTTGGAGGAGAGTTTTGTGCGAAAAAATATAGGGAGGGTGCATTGAGTTGGTTTCCCTCATGTGAACATAAGGGTAGAATGATCGATGATTGGAGAAATATCGTTTGCTTATTGGAGATGGACGGGGCTGAAAAAATTGTAAACTTGGAGGGGTGCCCATGGGTGTTAGGTGATGGTGCTTCTATCTCATTTTGGCTTGATAGTTGGATTTCGAGCTCTTCCTTGAATGAAATTTGCCCTAGAGTATTTCTTCCTGGTAAAAAATAAAGAGAGGGTGGTGGTAGTGTGGGAAGGTAATGGGATTTGGAAGTTTGAATTGAAGAGGGCCTTTTTCGAAAGTGAAAAGGACGCACTTGGCGAGCTATTGCAATCACTTCAAGGAGTGCTCCTAGTCAGTAGTAAGAGGGATCAACTGTTATGAGAATTGGACAGCAAAAACCTTTTCTCGGTTAAAAGTGCCAATGCAGCCTTGAGTAATCAACTTCGACAGGGAGGGTAAAAGATATGATTCTTCTCTATTTGGAAGTATACAGCACCTCCCAAAATATATACAAAGTTTCTCGTGGATGGTAATCATGGAGTAAATGTTTCTTAAAATTTAGAGGCATTTCTTTTGAGAATGATAATATTCTTTTTGGTTGATGTGGGTTGCATGAGGAAGTGATTTTGCATTTTCTAATCAATTGTGAATTTGCATGGTCGGTTTGGTATTGTATTGCGAATTGGTGGGCTTATGTTTGGGTTCCACCCTTGTAACAGAGAGCTAATTTTGCAATTCTTATGCAATATACCATGCTGTATGTGAAATTACATAGAATGAGTATTTCTGAGTTGTCTGATAGAAATGTTGTCCAAATCCTTCCCTGAGCCTAATTTCGCTCCTGATATTATAATAAAGTAATGAACAATTTTTGTTTTTGGTACTACTAAACAGTAAAGAACTATATATCCCAACCAAAGAATCCAACGCTTGACAGCTGCTCTTTTCAAGGCAAACGTACAATGACTAAAATGGGAAGAGAGATTTGACTTGGTCCTCTATAGTCTTCACAAGAACGAAAATACTTGCCCTTGCAAATTGCATATGGGTGGAAAAACTTTTGTGTCTTTTATTGCCCAAAGTGCAGCCATGGAGTGTAGATCAGATTATGCACATTATTCTTTGGCTTGAAGGATACAATGCTTTATTTAGATAATAAAACTAAAGGAAATTGTTTCCATAGCCGTCTTTTCATGCTTTTCATTTCTCTAAGCACCCTTTTTGGCCTATTTCCTAAACAATACTTGTAGCAATCGTTTAAGCCAAACACATAAAACCATAATTCCCGTGCATGGCTATTCATTCAATGCATGTTATATTAATTCAGGGGAGAGTTAGGCCTATACAAATTTTGACGGAGTTTTCCCTGCAATTGGACATTTCCCTTTACGGTACCTGCAAAGAAATTAGGGTCCATTCTCAAGTCCCATGTATCCAACAAAGAGTTGCATTCTCAATTCAAGCAATCACAAGGTTGTATTAATTCCTTTAGCGTCATATAGTTAAATTAGCAATGAACTTCTCCTTTCCATCAATTTTACAACATTCTAATTAAATTACCTCATCCTACAATCAAGTAATTGAACCGAATTAAAACTAAGGCAGTAGCTATTTCCATTTTTGGAACGCTTGATTGGTGTAGTTTACTATCAGCAACCAGTGTTCGAAGTTGTCCTTACTCCATACAGTCACTAAATCTCTCATCCAGCATGTCATTAGAGGTCTGGAGCCTTATAGGCAGAAGACTACTGGTGGCATTTAAAAGGGCTGGCTTCAAGGCTTTGGATTCCGTACATTCAACGCCCTTTACCGCTCAGATATCATTGCGGTTTTAATTTGTTCACCTCCAGGTGGCAGTAGCAAGACACAACCCGCAAATCGTCCCAGCTAGTTTTACCCTAACTCAGTGAACCCAAAAGAAGGGATCCTAAACACCCTATACCTTGTCAAACAGGTTAACAGATACAAAACTACACATGCTGAGAACGGAATCCAAAAACCAATAAACGGAATCCAATCAAAACATCCATTATAGCCAACCGGGTCAACAGTATTGACCCGCCCTCCTTCTCCCACGCTACCCGGTTTTAACATCATATCAAGGTTGCTCATGGACTGCCAATCCCGGCAGCATTAATTTAGCAATAGCAACCCATGCCAAAATCAGGGAGCTCTAAAACTCAGAATCTGGGTTTTCTCATTCATAACAAAAAACAGAGCAGCAGCTCACCAAGATACACAATCAAACAGCCTGAAGAAAAAGGCCGGTCTTCCCATCCACAAAAGCTCATCTTTTGCCGCTCCACTGACACCTCCGGGACCTTGCTTCACTCTCGCCCTTCCTTTCCCCAATTTTGTCTCCCTCAACACACGTGATCTGCATCTCTCATACCTACCCCCGACCACAGATCCCCTGCTCTCCCCGTAATCCTCTCTTGCATCTCACCCCCTCTTAGTCCAGCTTAATCAAATGCCACAAGCCAATGCCAGAACCCCTGTAACGAAGTAGGAAAAATTCTTCCAACACTCTCACTACGTTTCCACCCCTTCATTTTTTTGGCCATGTCTCTACTGACCCTGGCCCCCACTGACTAAAAAATTCAGCTTCAGTCATGCCAACAACATCATGGCATCAGTGGTCAGCTGTCGCACTCTCCCCTACTCAACCCCTTTTCCACCTCACTCCCTCCCAATATTTCCCAGAATTTATTCTTCTGTGTTTACTCTTTTTCTCTCTTATTCCTTTTTTTCTCCTTTCATTTCCCCAGAACAACATCATAATTAAATGACTTAATGCATTTATTGAACTAGCAAAAGGGCAAAAAAAATCATGAATATTCGAGCCTTCCACACCAATGAAAACAGAAATCCAATTTCTTCCAACTTGCTCATACCCTCAAAGCCTATACTTAACAATCTAATTATCTAATCAATGTTTCTCCATATAAATACTTAGTTGGGCATTCACTTAAATGGACTTACCAACCCAAATATATTTCCAATTCTATTCTGTTGAGTAACTCAAAACCAATAAAACCTAACAATTATGAAAATTCAACATTAAGCGCTTCACAATATGAATGTTCTCTAAGAATATCAAAGCTAAAATTTAAATTCATCAGGGAACAATTAAAATGGATATTTCAACTAGCTTACTACTCAATCAAACACTATCCCAACAACGACTCGCTATTACTAATAAAGTGGAAGCTGGAATATCTATATTCCAATCAACACACCCGACGTAAAAGAACGTTGTAAACCTAAAACAATAAACTAATACAAAAAACAGGACATGTTTATCTTTCCATATGAAAGTAATTAACAGGACCCACCATCAGCCTACTCGCGGCGGTTACCACTAATACTGCCGCCAGATCCACCGCGCTTTCTGCCTTCACTGGAGTCACTGTTTCTTCCTTCAATACCGGCTGCCATCATAGCTTCCTCATCGATATTCTGAGCCTTTTCAAGATTGTTGTTAATCCCTCCTGTGCACAACAACCATGAAACTTTTAGCCAATTTATAAAGGCTTTTGATTGGTTCGACTACAACCGGTTTAATTATATGTTCTGACCCAAAAATTGATCAGCTTTAATGCAACTGGTTCAATTGGCCAGTGTCAAATCCAGTTTGTAAAGAATTATTCTTTTTACCGTAGTCGCCGACGAATCCTCCATTGTGGCCGCCATCGTTGCCAACGTTCACCATAGCTACAATTGCTTCCATCACAGCCTTTTCTTCAGGATTCATACCGATTTCAGTAACGTTACCGTCTCCTACATAAGCAAAAACCAAAACCCATCAGCCAATTTATACCAAGTTTTGATAGCAACCAGTTTAATTAATAATGTGTTCCAGAGAAAACGAGTGCCCGGTTCCCTTTCAACCAGCCAGGTCGATCGAGTTCTGGAAAACGGCACGTGATTTTTTCTTCGGGCTTTAAAAAGAAAAATTTACCGGAGTCGCCGGCAAATCCTCCACTGTCGCCGCCATCGCCGCCGTTACTGCCCATCATAGTTACAACAGCTTTCATCATAGCTTTTTCATCAAATTTCTGAGCAATCTCGAGATCGTTATTCTCAACCGCTTCAATGAAAACCATGAAATCAACAATCAATTTCTCTTTGGCCGCTTTCTTTGCACGCATTTCCCGCGTCTTTCTCCTACGCACAGAAAGCCCTCTCTCCTCCTTTCTTAGCGCAACTTGAGCTGCCCTTAGAGACTCTTCCATCTCCCTTTTCTTCTCTCTCTGCATCTCCAATTCAAATTCCAGAGCAACAGCAATGAAATCTCGGGGGTCCTGTTCGATCAGGCAAAGCAGATTAGCAACATTTATTAACAGTTCAGGTTTAAATTTTGAGCAAGTACCACCATTCATAAGTTCAATAACATCTGCATAGCTTCAAATTTTATATTGCGTACTAAAATGCAAGTTTAATTTAATTGGATCAATAACATTTGGGAAAACTAATCGCTTTCTTTTTGTTTGTTGGTGAATGAATAAAACCAAATACTGAAAATAAAATCTTAGATATGGAAATCTCACCATCGGGGAAAAAGACTGGGCCAAACGACAAAGGTGAGACGAAAGAATTGCAAGAACTGAAGAGTGATTGGGTACTGACGGAGAAAGAAAAAGAAGCGAGAGGGAGCGATAAAAAGTGCCTTAGATATTTGTGGTCGGCAACGCCAGAGATGGCGGCCCCTCCTTTGGAGTTAGCGTTTGTGCAGGTAACACGTCTCCCTTGTTTCAAATTGGCACGATCGTGGATGTCGTCCCACGTGGAGTTAAGACAAAGATACAGTACGGTTTGAACAGAAGAGAAAAGCAAAAAGAAAGTGATCGTCAACTCCTAAAATTGGTCTAAATTTTGATTTCGAATTTTGTTAAAATTGGATGTAAAAACCTAAAATCGAAATTAACAAAGTTTACTTGAATTGGATCTAAAACTTGTTTGAATTAATTATTCTAAATTTAATCGTGTTTTTATATATAGGTTTGAGCACATGCATGCCCATGGCATTCAAATCACTCCTTAATTATCAAAATATAGCAATACCAAAATTTACTAATTATTAAAACAAAAATATTATTATGAGAAACTCTTGCTAATATTTTTTATAACATAAAGCAAATAAATAAATTTAAAAGATATTTATGGATAAGTACACTTACTAAATCTTCTAATGTTATAATATCACATTAGTTCTTTTTGTATCAAATCTATTATTTAAGGTTGATTTTGTTTAAAAATAAAAAACATAAAAAATGATTTTTTTAAAAAAATTCATTTTTGTGGGAAAAATAAAAAGATTTATTCCCTGACAAGGACTTCTTTTAATTTAAAAGAATGAAACTTCAAACCAGGTCAAAATATTTAAAGATATGACGTATATGCAGCCCGGATATCACGGTATGTTAAATGAACATGTTTGTCACAGTTCAATCATGACAAACCTATTGTCTCCAAGAGTTTAGGTGAAAAAACCACCAGTGAAGATAGGTGACTCAAAAAGCCGCACATCACAGTTTTCAGTCATTTAGCTTGTGCTTCACGTGCAACAAGACATTAGTGCGAGCCGCGAGGACAGATGATTTGGCGGGTAGGGGTTACAACGCCAAAGTTTAGTTATATGGTCAATGCCTTACCCACCTGGCGCGGGACTTTCATCACTCTTCTAGCGAATCCTTAGCCACGAAGCCTGGGTTTGACCCCTGGCGCAGGCCAATGTCATAAGCTCATTTATATTTTTTAATTAATAAGGCCATTTAAAAGCATTGCGAATATGCCAAATTGAGTCAACATTCTAGAAATTCAAAGCCCAACCTTTCCAGAAGTTATCCAGTCACTCTTCCCCTGCCATCTACCTCCCTTAGGCTTAGTGGTGGAATTAGATCCGTGTTTCGCTCTTCTTCGGCCTCTTGCATCCCAAAAGGAAGAGTCTACGAGTATGCTAGATACCTTAGGAGCTACAGTGCTAAGAGATGAACAGATCCATTGGCAAAATTAGCATTGAACTTCGATTTTTTTGTGACTTGTTACAATTGAATAACGACCTTACCTTCCCATTTTAACTTCAAAATTTTAAGCCAAATACACATAAACAACAATTCTCATGCCTATTTATTATTGTGCATTGAAGATGGTATTTAAGGGAAGGATCGATGCTGGAAAATTGAAGATGGTATTTAAGGGAGGGATTCAATGCTCAATATTCATTTAAGTCAATAAACCAAATTAAAACAATTTTAGAATCTAATTTAAGTCCATCTAGAATAATTTAAAATGAAAACAATCCCTACATACTATTCAATCCAACACCATTCTTGTATTCCGTTCTTCCAAGCACACAAAACCAAGTATAAGTGGTTATAAACAATTTCCAATTATCAATAACAAATCAAGAAGTTCTATTTTAAAAAAGAGAATTCCATTTTTTTTGCTACAGAAATTTCTAATCTTTTTCTTATGCATGGGTTTCTAATGTCCCTCTTTCCATAATATCTAGCATTAGAAATATTAATGTGCATGATTTGTCAACAACAATAGAGTAATTAGCAAAGTTAATTAAGCATGCCCTGTACGTAGTTGCCACTCCATGTGTGGAAACACTGTATTAGAAAATTTAATTAAGTTGATCAATTGGGAACTTTTGTTTGATAAGCCAATTCATTGTATTGATCGCGATGAATAACATCAGCAGCATAAGCCTCTCGGCTTAAGGCCAATACATCAGAA